TTACCTCAACCTGATCAGACTGCTGACTCATTACAATCCTTCAGCATGGAGTTTGAGTCACTACTAAGAACATTCAGTCTTAAGGTTGATATAACTACTAGTGAATGGATGACCAAAGTAGTCCTTCAACGAAAATTGTCCAGCGATATACTAGATGAATTATATGCACATCAACATAACACCATCCTGACAGTACAGGACATCACTGAAGGTTTACATTCCATCATAAACAAACGACGAGCAAATGAGGAAGTTAAAGCCTCTTACAAGCCTTCAGAAATAGAAAATAATAGTCAATTAAAGGGTAAAACAACTACCCCAAATAAACATCAATCAATTACTCTAACATCAAGTTGCAGAAAATCTGACAATGCAGCAGCATCCTCCAAGCCTACTGTTACTAGTTCACCCAAACCGGTAACTTCCAAACGTGCAGTAGGCTGGGGGACATGTATGTTCTGCAAAAAGAAACATTCAACATACTGTTGTGCTAATTATCCAACCAGAGACACTCGTATTGAGCGACTCCAGGAATTAGGGAGATGTTCAAGGTGTCTCAAGTCACACAACATAGACTATTGTGATACCCAATTCAACACCTGCAACAGGTGTAGAAGAGGTAGGCACCATGCAGCACTGTGCAAATATACGAAATTAACGTATTCAAGACCCAAGGTGGAAGATAGCATTCCCACCACAGTACAGTACTGCAAGGTGCAACAAACAAAGAGTGTCCAATCGGCAAAGTCTAAAGGTAATACGACTTTGCCTACTGCCCAAATTACCATCCTGAATAAGAGGGCCAAGGTCCATACCCGTGGGTTGTTTGACCAAGGATCCCAGAGAACATATGTCACTAAAAAGTTGGCAGATGAACTACAATTAAGGCCTGTAGCCCAGATGTCATTCAATATCTCAGGGTTTGTAACAGATGCAGGACCTCAAGTCTACCAGGTGGTACAACCATCAGTACGTTTAGGCAGGTACGTCTGTCGAGTACAAGCCATTGTGGTGGACAAAATACCAGTAGACCTACAAGTTCAAGGTCTGAGAGCAACAGCCAAATTCCTGAGAAATAGAGGAATAAAATTGGCAGATAATATTAAGTCTGATCACCTCACCGACTTCGGTCTCCTTGTAGGGACAGACTATTGTCATCGATTCATCGGTAGCCCTACTAAATATCAGGGTATAACCATGTTAAACTCTGCAGGAGGTAAATTACTCTCAGGCCCAGTATCAAGCCTGAGGAGACCTATGCCTGCAGATAAACAATACCAGTAGAAATCTAAATTTGTCAGCTGATTATATTTCTCCAGTAGCATTATACTAAGGAGATTACAGCTGACTATACCAACAGAGGTTGATGTTAGTATCATCATTTGAAGCTGAAGATGAGTTCATGAGGCCTCAGTGGCAAATCAGTGAACAGTAGCCTAAACAGCTACAAGTCACTGCGACCAATGTCACTGAACCCACTGCAGTCTCAGAACCATACTTTACTTTAATGATGAGCTATTCAATCTTCTGAATCAATTAACTAAATTAAACCCCAATAAATCTGATGACTGATTTGATACATTTATTATTTAATCAAGATGTATTCCATGGGCCTCAGTGTTTATATATCAGTGACCAGTTACCTGAACAAACTTCAAGTTATATCTAATGTCACTGATCTCACTGCAGTCCCTGAATCATACTTGACTGTAGTACTTGATCACATTCAGTCTTCTGGGTTAAATAATATGTAATTAGGCTTGAATATTAGCCTTTCAAGAGTTAACAGGGAAATGAAATCGCATTAGACTTCTAACCCCTGCAACTCTAGTACGGGACATCCGTCCTGTACGAACAGACGCACAAATGTGTGATTACTAACTACTAACATCAAATTAATCTAATAATTCGAAGGAGGAGTATCGGTGTTCGTCTGTTCTAAATAGGACTTCGACCCGTGAGCAGCCCCTGGGGAATTATGTCGGAAAATCCGACACCATTTAATATATCATACAGACAGATAATAGCTGTGTTGTATAAACAAGTTAACCCATAGAAAACGTAACTTGTAGTGGAATTACCGTCTATAGAAAACGGGATATCATCACCACATACTATTATAATTCACCACCTATTATGGTGGGAATTATTCTTAAATACATTAGTCTTTGGACTTTACCATCATAAAAACATCTCATATAAATTAACTTAATTATCAATATTAAAGTAGAGTAAATGTGACCCTTCTATCACTTTCTGTCATCTGGACAATGTAAGCCAGGCGTCAGTGAGGAAGGAGGGGCAGCCATTGTTGATACTAGACCAGAGGCTCACGGGAGCAAATTCGGCTCCTGTTAATTTTACTTGGACGTAGTGTTATGGAAACCAAAGGTGTACCATTATCAACACGCTGTCAACAAATCAAGTTAAGTGTTCTTCCGAAACCCATTTATCTTTCATTTATGGCCATTAATGTCAGTATATAGGGTTGTCCGGTTAGAGCACGACATAGCCTCATACTAAAGGTAATTAAGCCAGGTCTTCATTGTTCCATGTACAGTGTTTTCTCTGATATAGCTTGTCATATATATAGGATTCTGGCTTTACAGCTAGCGCCCTTTTGACAGGTCAAGACGAGGAAGCATGCTTTGTGCATCAGTTACCAGGGTGATGGAAGCTACCTCAAAGAGGGAAAATGTGGTCTACATCCTAGTTATACCTGTGTGGACTAAGGCCTGCTGTACTATAAGATAAGGAACCTCTTCAATGTATGTAGTCTAATACTGTAGTTTGATTGGCTGCATATATATAAATTAAATTAATATAAACCCCCCTAATGTGTAGAGGATCGATTTGTGAGATTATGAGATTATTGCAGAAATACAGTCCACTTATCATTATACAAATTGCTATCGAAGTATATAAATTAACGTAAATATAAATTCATATAAATTAAATAAATATAAATCTCACAGGTCGGTTCCCACAGGTCATGGTGGAAGTGCGAATGGAGGTGGAGGAAATGTTGGCGCGTGGAGCGACAGCCGGTGGAAGTGCTGGCACGTGCAGCAGGATAGGCTGGTGGAGAGGAAGCAGGTGGAGTAGTTGGCTGAACTCTAGGACGATAATGTGGAGCTTGGTGGGTGAGGTCTAGGACGTGGAAGATGATGTAAGATCCGTGGAACTATATTGCAATGGGGCTCGGTCTCTGTTCCAGAGCTAAGGAATGGAGGGGAGAAAGAAGGTGAGTTGATGGGCGTAGGGACTAGGGAGGGAGGGAAGGAGAGGAAGCTATTACGAGGGGAGAGTAGGGGACGGGGTTGCATGGTGTTGCAGGAGGAATGGGGAGAGAGGGGGATTAGTTGGATGGGGGTCTGCGAGGAAGAGGAGGAGGATGATTGGGAAGAGGAAGTATGGAAGGATGCAATAGGATCAAGAGGAGAGGAAGAGCGAACCAGTAGAGCGAGGCTGGCAACCGGCGTCTTTATTACTCTTGATCTTATCTACACCTGTACTGATCCAACACTCATGCTAATGCTTCTTTTGCCCTTACATTTTTGGAAGGTACATTGCAGTGCCTCTCTACACTATGCAAAATTCTGTAATTTCATTTGACTTGCATTCCACTGAACGAAATGTTCTACTACTTTTTCTCCTTAGTGATTCAGGTTACCTCAAAGTATTCCCCTTGAACGTACGTTCACACCACAGGCGTTTCCCAAACGTCACTCCTCTCTACCTCTACCTCTTTCTTTGAATCTCTCTCTCTCTCTCTTTACTTCTAATTATATACAGTAGATCTAATTGGGTCAGGTAAGGATGATTAATGATGCTTAGACACTATTTACGTGATAAAGATCAGACGGCGAGGAGGAGGTGTGGATAGTGATGAATGAGCTTACTTGTATATTAATTTGGAAACTTCAGTCATGCTTGCAAATGAAAGTGAAAAGCATATCTACTCTTTTTTAATTAATTGCTTCACTGAAACTGTCAAAATCAATTTCATACGTTTTCCCTAAACATTCTCCTACCTAAACGTAAGCCTATTGCCATGTTACAATACAATCTGTAGTTGCAAAACCATAATTACAGTATACGAAATTATCTTTTGTATGATTAATTTTGAAACTGTACGAAGCATTTGGAATTCCCCCTCAAGTTTTCCCTTTTAACTTTGGAATTAAAATCTGTGGTTGAAAACAATATTTAGTGTAGCTAATGGTCTATTGTATAATTTTTTTAAACTGTATGAAACGTTTTGGGATTCCCCCTTTTAACTTCGTTCACCACATACTCCCTTCTTACCCTATTAGTTCATGTTGCAACATTGCAAAATTCACGTTTGCTGTGCTTGCAACATTGTAACATGTAGCAAATTCTATTTTAATGTCATGTGATGTGTAAAGGGTTAAGTATAATCGGTCAGAAACACATGACTGAAGTGAAGAATTAGGCGATTTGAGAGGCATGTAAAAATATTAGAAATAATGAAGAATAAAAATAGGCAGTTAGGAGAAAGGCAATTATATTAACAATAAGATTATTCAATACTATTTATTTTTAATTTTTGGCAGGAATATTCTTGCACGGGGCCCTAAGCCTCTGATTAGGGATTAGGGCCTGTGTAGCGAGGAGTCATAAAATACTGATTCATGTAGTGATGAAAAGTGATTATGTTATTTATGCACTGAATATTGACTGAGTGAGCAGGACTTGATGGGTTACGTAATTGTAACATTTTACGTTCATTAACAGTTCATTCCTAGTTTCTCTATCACACTTCACCTATTACTAATTTCTTGACTCCTAGCGTTTCTCACTCCCAGCATATCTCACACATTGCTCTGTTCTACATAGTTTACCAAGTGGTGATCTGCAGGGAGTTTACTTGACATAGTGAATTTGGCACCTGTCGCTATGTCACATTCGCCTTTCTTCTGTTATTGTGTACAGTAACCTTTGTTACAACTCCGAAAGCCAAATCACGTGTGACCAACCTCAATGTTGTGGAACCTGAAGGAGTAGTAGCCAGGTCTAGGTAGGATGTTGATGTGGTGTATGATATGGGTGTTGCCGAGGTCCAGCACCCACCAAGGGTACACCAGTCCCGGCTGTGAGTGGTAGTAGGTGGTCAGGTTGTTATCGTCCCCCCTGGATGCCACGTTACTGTTGAAATACAATGTTTAGATTAATGCCGTATTTACATTGATTCATGTGACAAGGGCTATAGCGTATATAAAGAGATGATATAATAAAAGATATTATTGCTTTTCTTCACTACTATTGCAGCTACGTTATCAAATCAAAAGTGACTGACGTCTTGTTTAAGCTGACCAATCTCTCCAATGACTCTCAGAACACTGAGTACACTCTCTGAGTACACTATTGGAGTTGGACTCTTCTCTGGGTAGTCCTCCTCTTGTGGTGTCCACAGAGTAGTGAAGTTTCTGGTCGAGAGAAAGCAATAGTGCTACTGGAGCAGTTACGGACTCACACCGTCATCAAATTAATAAGAAAGTGAGTAATGGCTGGAAGGAGAGCTGGTAGACCCACCGTGGAAGACAGACATGACTCGTTGCGATCCTGACTGGACAGTTTGTGTGGTTCCCGGACGTTTGTTGTTTTGTGTGCCCCTGCCTGTCGTCGTTTGACAGGGCAGGAGTCGACAGTGTTTGCTATGGATCCCCTTGGTACGCCGTTGTAATATGGTGGGCCTCAGGTTCTCGTGCAAGCCAGATTACCCTTTAGCGAGCGTCGCCCTGTTCGACGTTTTCCATGCAAAATATTTTTAACGTTCAGCGGCTGTCTACGGGCGTGGTGTTGGTGAAGGTTGGTACCCCTGCGGCATTGATGGCTGTCCCAACACGTACGAGGGGCATATAATGCCCTTACTTGGGAGACATGAGACCGTGACGGTGGTGAATTATAGTGTCTAAGTGACTTATTTGTCCGTTAAAGATGCTCCCTTTGAAATTCCCGACGAGTTAATTGCTGGTGTTCTTGGCAGGTATGGAAAAGTTCCTAGAGTTCGACACACCAATTTTACATATGGGTTGTGTAATGGCATAGTAAGTAGTGTCCAGACGGTGCGAGTCGTATTCTCTCGTCACGTACCTTCAACGATCATTGTGGTCGGTTTTCGGCTTGGAGCCTTATATTCGGGCCAACAACGTACGTGCTTCAAGTGTGGACTGCCTGGCCATCTGCCAACAGCGTGTTCAGATAAGGCGAAGGACAGAGTGAACCTTTTTCGTGATAGTGATTTTCCCAGACTGTCAAAGTCTGCGAGCAGTGCAACCCTTGTAGAGGTTGTGGTAGCCAATGCTGAGTCTTGTGAAGTGAGGCTGCCGGTATGCGAGACAGAGGACCCGGGTGTGGGTAGTGTGCATTGTCCGGTGGTGGCGGTTCCCGAGGTAGTATCGTGTGCTCCTTCAGTTCCTGTGAAGGATTTTCCTCCGGATGTTCCCCTGCGATCCGGTGACGCATCTCTGATGTGTGTGCTTCTAAGTACAGCTGTTGATTCGGCTGTGATGTGTGTTGTAAACAGCTGACCCTCTTGCACTCGTGGATCTTGTTCCTGTAGACCCTTCTGATGATCAGGGCCTTGAATGGAAACGTCGCACCAGGAGCAAAGGTGACTTAGTGAAGTGTAGCCGTGTGGTGGAGGCTTATGTGCACGCTGAACTTTGTGCAAATAAATTACCAGTTCCCTGGCTCCAGGAAGTCGTCCATAGGGAGGGTGTAGTGGAAATTGATGTTGACCCCATGAGTGGCAGTTGAAGTATAACAACCGCATGCCCTTGCATGGATTTGTGGTTAAAATTTCAGAAGAATTTCTGCACCTTCTGCCTCCCTTGACAAGGTTGGTTCGGGTGCTGATCCAAGTGAGATTCCGTATGATAAAACTCTGGGAGACGTGTCTAGACTAGATGTCCCTAGTAACACGCTTATGTCCTATTTGGGCCTGGTTGATTTGGATACGGTGGAAGCGGATGATGAACAGTGTATTTAACTGCAGGTTGAGAGTTAGGGAACTGACTGAGCGGGGTCCATCACTAAGCTGGGCCACGAGTTGGTGGTTGCCAGTGTGAAGAGTGATCACGGAATTATGTTTCCTTTGGGATGTCCTTGAAAGTAGCGAATTGTAGACATGTAATTCTAGGTTTTTGTTCTCCTTTTAATTCAATCAATAATTCCCTATGTCAGGGAACAGGAAGCCAGAGTGTATTCATACAAGTTAGACTTTTATGAAGCTCCCCCCTCCCCCAGGATCGAATTACTAACCCCAACCCAAGATGCAATCCCACATAAAGCTGACTAACTCCTGAGTACCTACTTGCTGATAGGTGAACAGAAGCATTAGATGAAAGGAAACGTGCCCAACCATTTCTGTCTCGCCCGCGAGTTGAACCCGGAATTCTCAATTGTGTATTGATAATGAACCCAACTCTACTACCGGGACCCTAAGTTCCAATACATGTCTCATTAGTATGTCCCACTCTAAATGTTAATGGGATTTATTGCATGAGGAAACAAATGGATGTGCTTTCACTAGTTCGGCAGCATCGTATTGATGTTCTTTTCCTGAAGGAACACAATGTGAAGGATGTATCTGTATTAGCTTCCCTCGCGAATGATTTTGAGATTGTGTTGAATTTGTCACCTCTTTTGAGAGGGGATGCGATGATGTTATATTTGTTTCTGTGTTTCACACTGAAAGTGATTATTGTGGTTGGGTGCTATATGCGAAGGTTTCTGTTTTTGGTGTAGTTATGCCCCATCTGGGCCAGTGGGGAGGGATAAGCGGGAAGCTTCATTTTGTGAGTGACTTTTGTACTATCTCCAGCATGACATCAGAGGCATCATTTTGGTGTGATTTTCCTTGTATGACGTCCCCTCGGAACTGTAGTAGCCAGGCACAGGCTGGCGTATCAAGGACGCTTGTTGCCAATTTGCGGTGTTGTGGCTTAATTGATGTTGTTAGTGTTACTGATTATCTGAGAGTTTCATTATTTGTTTCTCGTCATTAGGTGTCCTATCTGGACCGTTTGTATGTCCACAAATCAAATGCTGGTGTTGTGTCCTGTCAGACGTTTCCTGTAAGTTTCTCCGATCAGAGTTTGGTTGTTTTAAGGGTGGTGGTAAGTCAGCAGTATGAGGTGGGTAAGGAGTTGCGTGGTGACCACCGGCCAGGTCGGACGCTCCTGAGGTCTCTCCGCACTGGCTAGTGTTTACGTTGGGTGATTGCTTGTTTGCCCTGCTGGTGGTGGTTTGCCACTGACAGGGTGACGTTTGCCTTAGCCATGGGGTCATCTCGCCCTCCAGTGCAGAGGACATTGTCGGCTGGTCTAGCGTTTACGGTGCCGGTGGATCATCCATTGGTTGGTGTCGCCCTGGTGGACGTGCTTCATGTGCAGCTGTCAGACCTGGTGGGCGTCCAGCTGCTTCAGGGCAACCGTGCTGTGGTCAAGTTCCGCCTCCAGGCTGCCTTTCAGGTGTTTCTCGAGCGTTGTGAGGGGCGTGTTTACCCACTCCCTGATTCAGCTGGCTCAGTTAAGGTGGTGAATCTTAGTGTCACCTTGACGTCTGAGGCGGTGCATGGTGCCCCCTTCGAATTTCAGGACGACTTTTTAACCTCCTGTTTTGAGCGATTTGGGACCGTGTTAAGTGTTCGTTGGAACAAGGTCGTTGCCGGGCACTGTGTTGGTATGCTTGACGGCTCCCGCACCCTGACGATGTCGCTGAAGTGTAGTGTACCGTCGTCGATGTCCGTGTTGGGTTACACGCTCCGCTGCTTGTACCGGGGTCAACCGCGCACCTGTTATCGGTGTGGTCACGAGGGTCATCTGGCTGCGGCGTGCGACGTGGGAGCACCTGGTCGGGTGCATGTTTTTCGTGCAGAGGATTTCCCGCCCTTGTTACGTTCGGACGGTTCTGAGGACGGAGTAGGTGCTGTGCCTGAGGCGCCTGATTGCCTGTCTGCTGCTCCGCCTGTTGAGGCGAGTTCTACGGCCTGTGCGACACGTCAGGTGACTGCTGTGGCCCCTGGGGTTGTTGAGCCGGTGTGTGTGGGTGTCGAGCCGTCGCCTGAGCTGCGTGTAGTGCGGGATGTCTCGGTGGAGGTCCATGTCCCGCCCCCGCCTGTGGATGTGATACCGGCTCCCGGGAACGCGGGTTCTGCTGTTTTAGAGGGGGTGCTTCGGCAGGGGGAGGTGCCTGCCGTGCCTGTGTGTGTTGGTGACTGTAGTTCTGCTCTTTCCGTCCCTTTGCAGAAGCGTGCGCGTCGGTGTTCTGAGGCTGTTTCCCTGGATGATGTGGACAGTGTGGGTGATGTGGCCTCTGTGGACTCTTCGGACGGTGCGGGTGTGGCCTGTGTGGATGTAAAGATGGTGGCCGTGCCTGCGGCGGGGCCTGCTGGGCGTGGTGTGGTGAGGCCTGTCTCGAAGCGTTCACGGCGGGCTCGGAGTGTCTCCCCTTCGTGGTGTGCCTTGGGAGGAGGTGGGGGAGTATGGTAATCTGGCGCCCCCCGCCGAGAATGATGGTGCTGCGAGGGGCTCCGAAGTTGCTACCTGTGCCTCTCCTCCTGCGTCTCCTGCTGTTGGATCTCCGCAGTGGGGGGTTGTCCCTGATGATCGAGACCTCGTCGTGATGTTGCGGAAAGATGTGCGCCAGAGGGCCTCGGCTCCTGTGCCCGGTGGTGGGGTCGGTGCCGCGCCTGCGTCCCCTGCTGTATCCCCTCCTTCCTTGCTCCAGTCTGGGGATTGCCTAGTCCCGTCTGCTGGGGTCGTGCCCTGTGAGGGTCCGGAGTTGGGCCCTTATCGGGATGCCCGGGTGCTTCCGATCCCGTGGTGCTCGTCCACTGTCTGGGTGTCGCGGGTGAAGGAGTTTGTGTATAGGGTGCCGGATAGGATGTCTCAGCCGAGGGCGCCGCCTGGTGGCCGGCTGCTCGCTGACCTGCGGGTGATTTGGGAAGCGTACTGCTTGCGCTTTCCGATACACAAGTTTCCGGAGAAGTATTAGTTCCCGTCTTGCGCACGCTGCTAAGCCGTGCGTGGGTCAGCTGCCACCGTGACCACCACCCCCCCCCCCCACCCCCCCCCCACCCCCCCCGGTGCGGGGTGTCTCCCTCTAACGTTCGCCTCTGTTTTCGTCGCCACTCTTCTCTCTACGGCCCATCACATCTACCGCTTTTGACTTTCTTCTCCTCCTGACCGTCAACGCGTCTCCTTACATCTGTCCTGGTGCAGTCATCGGGAGGGTTACCCCTTCATGCAAACTGCGCCTATTCTCAAGAAGAAGAGGTGGGTAAGGGTTTCTGGAAATTGAACTGTAGTTTGTCCCAAGAGGAGGAGATTGTTGAGGGTGTTAAGGAGTTATGGCCACGCCAAGTAGGCCGTAAGAATGAGTTTGTTTGTCTTTTGGAGTAATGGAATTTTTGTAAGGTCGTTGTAAACGTTTTATAATGTCTTTAGCAAAGAGGAAGGCTGCAGAGCGTTTTGGCCTGTTCAATCTTTTGAAGGCTCGTTGAGTTGAGTTGTATGGGCAGATGTCTGTGGGATTGAATAACTTTGAAGACATTGGTCGTTGTTAAGCAGGTCAATATGGTTTGGGGGGCTGAGGTGACAGAGGGTGTGAACATACGGATGCGTTTGAATGAACGCCTTTATTGGGAACGTTTGTCAAGTTTTTGTTGCAGAAAGAGAAGGCTCCCAGGACTTCACCTTTGGTGGCTGGTTTAAGAACGTCTGATGAAGTAGAGGCCTCCAGCACATTGGGAATGCTACAATACTTTCCATGTGAATTGGAAACTTTGTATCGAAAGGTGGAGGGGGTAAATGCTCGTTTGTGGGATTCGTTAATGAGTCACTGCTCTCCATTGATTTCTCCAGGGAATAGTGCGTCCTTGATAACTTAAGAGGAAGCGGAGGAAGTCTGGGGCTTGGTACGGGGTTAAGAGAAAGGTAAAATCCCCAGGGAGTGAGGGGGGGCTGCACGCGGAGTTTAATGTGTGGTTCTGGGGTGTGATTGGCGATGACTTTCTTGAGGATAAGGGACTGTTTACGGTCTAATCGACTGTCTGCTTCCCAGAATATGGGGGCTGTGAGGCTTCTGCCTAAGCATGGTGATCTTCGTTTTTTTTTTTTTGGAGGGGGGGGGGCGTGTTGGAGACCGATTATACTGCTGAATGTTGATTATAAAATCATGTCTTATGTTGTTAGCCTGTAGAATTCGGTCCGTTCTTAGTTCGGTGGTTTCTTGTGAGCAATTTTGTGGTGCACCAGAGAGGTCTATCATTCAGTGTAATACTGCCATTAAGGAGGTTTTAGATTATGTTTCTCGTCAAGGCATTGCGTTAACTATGTTGATAAGGAACGTGGTTTGGATTCAGACTTTCGATCATATCGACGTTGGGATTGTTTTGGAGGTCTTGGCCCGAATGAGGGTGGCGCCCCAGTTTGTTGCCTGGGTTTGTAAGTTGTATATGC